CTTTCCGGTTCTACGGCACCTATGTCGCGCTTTATGGCTCAAAACGTCCCAGTTCTGGCAAATACCAAGTGACGGTCGATGACAACGTGTTTCCCGAGCAAAGCGGGAATGTTCCAGAGGGCACCGTTACGATCTTTGGGAGAAGGCAATTTCAAACCCTGCTGTTCTCGACCAACCTCACGCTGGGATTTCACACTGTTATTTTACGGAACGTTGATGGGGCTCGAGATATTGACTTCGTCTGTCATAAATTCATTCAAAAGCGCAAGATGTCAGGCTCATTACATTTCTATTCCAGGTTACTTGGCAAGGCAGCGTTGGAGAAGAGGACGAAGATCTTGTCGTCAACACAATACAGGACTCGCATCCCGCGTTTGCTTACAATCCTCCGAAAGCCTGGATAAAGAATCCTGCAAACGTCACAACTTACTCGGGTGCTTCTGGACAGTGCGTTACACGGTCGTCTCCATCTAACCGGCACCGACATTTTGCTCTTCACAGTGCGTCTCATGAGGTTGGAAGTACCGCGACATTATCATTCAAAGTGTGTATCTCTAGTGCCCACTCCATCTCGAGCGATCTAACCCATTTTTATTAGGGTTGGATACATTCCTTTGTGGTCAACCAATGCCCATTCTGACGTACGTGCTCTTAAAAGGCGAAGCTGTCGCTTTTTTCGGACCATCCGGGCCTTTCTCCGCATTCTCATACACAGTCCAGGTGGACGGTAAACCAGTAGAAACCTTTTCCGCCAGAAAAGACAGATTCCGCTCAAAACAGTTGCTTTACTATGGGGCAAACCTGGGAGCTGGGAACCACGTTGCAAAAGTGACTTTCGCGTCGAGTCAAATACCGGAGGAATATCTTGCAATCGATTATGCGGAAATTTACAGTGCTCCTTCTCTTGGTGGCGGGTTCGTGTGTATGAAACTGTTGTGAATTGAAACCACGGCTGATCCCTTGCTTTCTCAAGATACTCGTTATCCCCCGCCATGGCTGTAACTAGGTATGTATTTCTGGCTAATTCAAACCTTACACGATGTTCAAATCGACGACTAGCAACCTGAATATGCCAATTGGGGTACTAGTCGGGATCATCATCACGTCTTTTCTCTCATTGCTGTCATTACTAATCCTACTCTACCTCTTCTACCTTTATAAGAAGGGTAGAATACGGGCATGCAGCCCTAAAGAAGGCGCTGATGCTCAAGTTCGAGCCTTTGATTTCGAACATCACGAACCCCCGGTCGCTGGTGCAGGTTTGGGCTGGGCTCGGAGTCGATCCCACACCGCCGACACGTCCGCAACTTCGAATACCAACATACTGGGGAGTTATCTTCCAGTACAGTGGTCAAAATCTAGGATAACACCTAGTGCAGAAATAGGGCGAAACCCAGACGAGCCACCCCCTGCATACCCACCCTTCGGATTTACGACAAACCCTTCCTAATAAACATGATTCATGAGTCACAAACCCCGCTTTCTCTATGATCGTGTCTGTGTACACACCTATCGTTACTGCACAACGATTCACGTTATCAGCGTGTTTTCTTGGTACCTGATCTCTCGCGGCCTGAAGACCTCAACTAATACTCCAATAATAGATTTGCTTAGGGATTTTCTCTCGTTCATGTCACAAATTGAGGCGGGACTGGTGACTGCGGAATTACGTTGCAACAGCATCCGCCGGATGAAACACAGAACGCAGACTCTCGTGTGGTGGTACATATGCGCACTGCGCAGATAGCTCTGTTCGACTCGGACTTTGAATCAAGGGGCTGACACGAGCTCCTGCTTTTCAGCGAACTTTCCAGATTTTTTCCTTGCCTTGTCCTTTGTTTTGATGGCTGGCCCTATAGAGGATAGTAAGAAGATCACTTCATCGGCTATTCGAGCCCGCAATGAGACAGGGTGAGAATCCGCAAACGACCATTTATGATTATCACTCCGGTGCGATTGACGCCGGTGTGCGTGTATATAAAACTGTCAGTGGGCTAAGTATGGCACACAGGTGCTTCCCGACATTTCTCCTATACGGATCTGTTGCACTGCCCGCGTTCATAGTCAAAAATGCAACTCCAAAGGTAAGCCTCCTTCACATTGGCTACTTATTTGCGCGCTCTGCTTCGTCACGCCATTTACAAACGATCTGACGATGTATATACAGATTGCTGGCCCTCGCCGTGTTCGCGCTTTCCGCCTCTGCTCAGCGCACAAACATTCAAGTCTCTGTCCCTTCAGAGCTGATAATTGGGCAGGATTCTATCATCAAATGGACTTTTGGGCCGAACGACCCACCCACGATCCTCTTGATGCTCACAGAGTTCGGCACAGTATTTAACTCTATCCAATTCTGGGATGAGGTTAACACAACAGCCGGAGAATTGAGGGTCACCTTAGAGTCTGATATTCGACCAAAGTACTGGTCTTTGCTCTCATGCTATAACTATGAACGCTCACGCCTGTTTTAGGGGAGGATACGTCGTCGATGTCCGCAATCAGACTAATGTGGACATGGTTCTGGCACAGAGCCCACAGTTCGAGTTGAGGCTTCCTGAACCTCCCATCGAGCCCCCCGCCAACAACACCACCGTTCCACCCCCTCCCAATCCCTCGACTCCCCCTACTACGCCTGATGTCCCTACACCTTCTGCATCTGCTCCCCAAATTTCAGGCCCGTCACTCGGTTCTAGCGATGCACCGCCGCGTCCAACTGAAGGGTCAGATGATGGCGCTGCCAATCCATCTCCCTCTCAAGGAAGCGGAGCAACAGGGCTACTAGGTCTCAAGTCAACCTTCTCGACAATGGCTGTCTTCTCCGTAGTCTTTGGAACCCTCCTTTAAGGTGGAAATGATAGAGTTATGGTCGAGCGGTAGATTGTAGCATTGGTCTTTAGAAATAGTAGAAATAGAACATACGGTGGATCCTGTGGTCTAATCAAGTGCACATTCACCGGTGGAAGTGTGACCCTTCGCTCTGAGCTATCCACAATGATAGGAAGGTAACGTTACTTCGGAAGCTCGGAGAAGATCTCCAAAGCTATGCAGAGTGCCGCGTATGCGAGAAAATGGAGCTCGATGCCGCTTGAGTTCTCAGATCCTGTGTTGAATTGGCAAATAATTCCGTAGGGTTCTGAATCGTCTTTGGCAGATGGTCAAGTGGTGTGGTTGTTTCGTCTGCATCTTCAGGGCGAATAGGGAACAATGTTGACCTCAACGGAAGCTCAGAGGCGCCACTGCCTGTGAACCTGAGTTGTAGACGAGACTATAGACTTGCAGTGGGTGGAAAGACGACGGGCCTCCACTTAACCGCAGGATGCGGTTTCAGCCGAATACGGTGGTGGTAGTCACCGGTGTGCGGTATCTTCGCAGCTGGTTCATTCCTCGTTCGCCAAGAGGCCTAACGGCGTCGTTTGAACTTGAAATCGGCCTGTTTTCATCCAAAGATATGAACTTCAGGGGCATGTCCCGAGTTGGCCTTGAGGTCAAGACAATTAATCCCGGATTGGTCCTCTTTTCCCGTCGTTGCTTCAAGAACGCTTCACACAAAGGACACCACACAATTTCCTGTTTCTAGTGCGGTTTGTACATGTAATGGAGGAGATGGCTGTTCGAGTAAAGAGAGTCCTGTCACGGTCTTCAGGCCTCGAGAGGCGTGCTTGGCTGGACCTTTGCAACCAAACAGTCGCGTCCACGCGATTCCGAGTCGCCCAAACAAAGAAGCCCTTTCACAGTCACCAACCATCACATTCAATCGTATATAGCCCTTTCCAAACTTTATGCCGGTTCACGCCCACAACCCACATGGAACAACAGTATATGCTCCACCTGTGACGTGTCGAGCAGCATCGCCAGCATCCTCAATCGGTACCCATTATGACGACGACACGACCTCCGACCAAGAATTGGAGATGACCAAGTTTGAATTTGAGAGGTTGTGCGAAGGGAAGATCAAACTTTCGGAACCAAGACCACAGGAGGAGTGGGCAGAGCGCGAGGTGCTCGTCAAAGACCCTGCTAGGGGCAAAGGCGATGAATCAGAACAAGGTGCGCACGTACGCAATACCGGAACGCTATTGCATTATCTTACATATGAATCAGCACTATTCGAATCTATAATCCGTAATCTTCGAACGGAAATCAAACGGCTGGACGACGAAGAGATATACGAGCGTACTATGTTCAAAGGCTCGCAGATCGGTTTGGAGGCCCAACCACCCACCTCAGATATTGACAAGATTATGCGTAGCATGATGGGCTCTGCCTTGTCGCTAAACCCCTCCTCATCTCCCTTGCTTCTTGATTCCACTCCTGCCAACCATCTGAAGGCGGAACGCTTTGGTTCAGAGGGCCCACCGCCGCATCAACCCACTCAACCCGCCCAATCTACACAACCAGCAGTGTCGAAAGGACCTTGGGATAATTATGGCAAGAAGCCACCCTCACTAGGCTCGCATATGTTTCCTGTCAGATCCTCATCCCGTGGGCTCATATCTCCTACCAGTAGTGTTCTCGCGCCCGCGTCCTCCATTGCATCCAATCTGACGTCAACCACAACCACAACCCCATCTACAATAGACGACATGCTTGTCGATGCCGACCCCGTGTTTCTCAGTAAGAGCAATTTAGCCACTTCCAAAAGGTTACCTTCGAAGAAGAAGATAGCAACCCTTTCGGAAGGCAGTACAAGCGGCACCACGATAGTAGGCGGCAAAAGGACAAGAAATGGGACATCGATACCTTGATATTCGAGGTGTATATCTCATAAATACTAACCCGGCGAACGACACACTTCGTTCAATGCCTGAGGAGAGCCACACGGACGAAATCTCAGTGCTGGTGAAATCCCGGACTCGAGCAAACATTGCACGGTCCTCAGGAATGTACTTACTGATGCTAATCACTTACATCGTAGTTAGCGAGAAAAGCACCTGAAATGCTTGTATCTACTTCCATATTTGAATTTTGTGTAAAACAGAAGAATAAAAAACAAAATAATCAGGTGCTACCAGGGTTCGAACCTGGGTTTCGGGAATACTGATGAATGATCAAAATCCCGAGTGATAACCACTACACTATAGCACCACATGTTGGAGCTTCCAACCCAGCAGACACATCGGCGGCCGCAGAGCCGATGAATCTGAAAACGCCAAGCTCGCTGCGCACCCCAAGGGTTTCATTCTGGCGAGCTCGTCGTCATCCTACCGTTATCTCGTCACCCAAACGGTGTGCGTAGGTGTGCACGGTTCATCAGCAACAGCGGAGTCACTTATTTAGCCACTCAAGGCCGCGATAGCATTCACGTTCAAAGTGTGGTCGGACGTCGAAGATTGCATATGCACCAGGAACGGGGGGTCACTCATCTGAGTTGAGCTAGCCAACGCACTGCGGGTAACTCGAGCCCCGTATCAATGGATGTGAAATCTGAAGAAGACATCCAGTGTGATTCGGAGGGCTCAATCATTGACGAGAAGGAGCTTCTCCATCCAGAGGATATGCAGGATCAGTACGAGAGGGGACGGCACCGTGATGAGACATATTATTTCGAAGATGGGAGTTGCGTATTGCTGATTAGGGATGTCTTGTTCAATGTGAGCTTCGACCTACCAGTGGAGGATATGGGTACTGAAAACGCGATAGATTCATCGGACGATGCTGAGCAAGGATAGCTCGACGTTCAGCACGATCTTTACGTCCGGTAAGGACAGACATGGCAGCTCTCTTGGCTTGCCTGAGGAGGGTAGATCAGACGAGTATCCTATTGTGCTCACTGGGGACTCTCCAAAAGAATTCAGGGACTTTCTCTGGGCACTCTACGCTTTGTGCGTATACAAAATCTCAACCATCGTGTGGCTAGTCTAATGACTGCCTGTTTGTGTTGTCCAGGCCTCACGAACTTCAAAGTGTCACCTCCCCAACCGCGGATTTATCACGTCTCATAAATATTGCGCGTATATCCAACAAGTACTCTTTCAAGTCGGTCGAGACCTGGGCACTAGGAGCGATCCAGGACTACGTCAACAGGAAGCCATCCCCTATCCTCTGCACCATCCCCAGCCCCGACTCATATACCTACTTCGCACGCGAGAATGGGAGGGATTCCCCGCAAGCAGAGGACAACACAACGCACCTCACGCGTCTGATCTCCCTCGCACAGCTCTGCGGACACGCGCCGCTCCTGGACACCATGATAAACTTTTTAAGGGAGCTCATGTCCACCTCGTTGAACTACGCTTACCTCGCCATGACGCTTGCCGACGATCTCGACCTCAAGGGTTTGCGAGGCGCAGCGTATCTTGAGGTTATGCAAAAATCCGCCATCGTCAAGCCCGCTCAGATCGAATTGGGGTTGCGGACACCTTCTGCGACACCTTCAGCCGGGAATGCAATCAGTGTGCCCTCCTTTGCCGGGGGCCAGTTCAACACAAACGCGTTCGTGGGTGCGATGGCCAATGCGGTTGCACCCTTGGGTGGGTTCTCCAACCATACTGCGGCAATTGGGAATACGCTTGTTGCACCAACGAGTTCAATTACAACTTCGCCGACACTGGGATCGAATCAAGGGTCAGCTCGGAGCCTGCCTATTACACCGACGCAGAAGCTGCGCTTGCTGACGGGCTACTACCGCCTCTCGGCTACCTGGGAACAGCTACGGCTTACACCCCCGCACTTTGATCATGCGTCGTCGTGCGCTGCAACCTGGCATCAGCATGGGTGTACGCAGTCGTGGTATGAGTTTTGGAAGGAGAAAACGAGGAGCGATCCGGTGATGCAGCATTCTGTGGCCGATGTGCTGGGGCGGATGAAGATTGTGCAGAAGGAGTATGATAGATGGGGGAGTGCGAGTCATATGCACCATGATTGCAGGGTTGCTGCTAAGCGAGCGATTTTGGAGGTGATTAGGAAGGTGGAAGAGGGGTTGGGAGATTATTTTGGGGATGATGTATGAGAGGACTGCTTATGAGATCTTTGCTGTATATTTTACCTTGTACCAGTATGCTTCACGTTTTAGAGTAAAACATTTTGAGCTTCACCAACTGAAATATCGTTCGCCAGGTCTCGATGTACTCGCAATGACGTAGAGGTATATGTACGACTGATGATGCCCCATCACTGTGTCGCTTAGTGGCGCCATGAATCCCAAAATGGGAGTTTATACAACAAGAGCGCGGCGTTGAACGCAAGGACCGGTTGTAAGATGCGATTTTTCAAGATACGCTGCCTGATTGGGACCGGTGGACCATTTGCACCTGCTTCGTCAATCGCTGAGACTTCTCCTGCTGTCAATGGGGCTGCGAGTAGATGGTTAAACCGATTCTGGGCAGAAAACAGGACAAGAACGTACGCAAGTCGCCGACTTTCTTCAAGGTGTTTTCGACTAGAGCTCGTCCTATTGAGAACCTTCAGCGCAAATATGTGTAGGGAACCACTGGAGCCACTAGCACGGTCGAGTCTGTACAGGTTTGAAACGTAAATTGGTCCTACACAAACGGCGGCCGATACCTCGATCCGGTTCCCACTAATACCGACGAAGATGACTGGAAAGTTGCAGGTGCCCAAGAGGTCTTTGAACTGCGAGAAAAATCTCAAATGCGATTCAAGACACCGGGTGTGACACGTACCCTCTCGCCCATGAAGATTTTGCTGTAGTCGACGATGGCTTGAAGGATCGCATCACCACCATTTCCCAACATGTTCTTTAGCTCCAAGATCAGCAGAGCAAAGCCCTTGTGCCACCAGATCGCACCTGGTTTGATGTTACCTGCCCAGTCAAGCCTTTCCTGCCACTGGCCGTTCTCTCCGAGCAACTATCAACATTTTGGTGTGCTGCTGGCTCTCCTCTTCGGTCATGTACAATTGGACTGCATCCGCAAGAAATGCAGCAGCACGCTTGATATCGGGGCGAGAAGGGACAAGGGTTTCCAGGTTGTCGAGATTCCGCTGTAAGTTGGCGAGCGGCGGGCTGAACATTGCGACAGGGATACGATCCACGCAGGCAGGACAGGATTGGAGGAAGGTAGCGACCTTCTCAGCGCTCTTCACAACTTCCGATGGAGACGGTCCCAGATGCAGGGAGAAATAGTTCAGAAAGACTAGAAGATACTAACGATGAGGCGAATATCTTTGGTGTTACGGTGCTATACATACCCTTCTTGATCGTCCTGTTATATACGACGTCCGGGTCGCCCAGAGTATCAAGCACCTCCACAACTGCCAGGGATCCAAAGTAAGCACCAGTTATGATGGAAGCCTGAGTCGCAGACGGGCGCACTTTCTGGGGTAGCGAGGAGTATGTCCAATCTTTTGTCTCCATAAGAGCTGAGGGGAAATATATCTGAAATTTTGTCCACCTTGGAGTCCATGTCGATGGCATCCCCTGGATGTTCGTGAAGGAATTGGCGGGCGCGGTCAGCAACGCTGTGCTTGGGGTCCAATGGAATATCTGTCTACATCGCCTTTTAGCTAGGTAGCTGGACGTGGAGCTCTGTCAGCGGCACATTATGTCCCTGATCTTTGAGCTTTTGGTCGATCACTTCAAGGAGAACGGGTATAACAGCGTCTTTTCTAATGGTTAAAACGAACGTAGTGGGGTTTTCGGCAGGGTAATAACAATTCAAGGAGACTATATTGCGTCAGGACGAGAAACCGATGGAAAAGGTCCGACACTCACCAGTAGGCTTCACCGCGATGACATGGACACGGTCATCCAGGAGTGGGTCTTTGAAGACAGTTGAGATCTTGGCGAGTGGCAGCCCGAGTTCCTCTGACCCCTCAACGGCGAAGGGTTCTCGCGCCTTGAGAACCTCGTCAAGAGGAAGCGAAACCTTGAAGAGTTGTATGTCCTTCGCATTGGTACCCGTATACAGTGCCAGCTCTGCTTTGATCGACTTCTTGAGGGCCAAGACAGTTTTGTTTGGAGCGATGTCAATGGTGAATAAAATTTGTGGAACTGCTTTGTATTCGTCGGTACGAGGAGGAGAAGAGATGGGAATGACCTTCCGGATGCGGCGGTGTCTGCGTGTGTGCTTGTTTGGCAAAGGCCTTAAAGGTCTGGGCCGTTGATGCCCGGGAAACTGGCAGTTGATGCAGGCACCTAGCCTTGGCCTTGTACACAATCAACATTCCCGCCTCACTGCACTAATCGGCTTGCTCGCTGGATGCTCATCGACGTCGACGATGGTAGCGTCATCACATGTAGCAGCGGTCGTCGCATCCAATCGAGGCCGCGGCGGAGCTTATTCTCGACCAACTAAACCCACACCACTCATTCTACCCGACGAACATGAAAACAATTCACAAAGACAGCCCGCAAATTCTGTCAATTTCGACGACGACGAGAGCGAAATCGATTCACCGCAATCACCAGGACTGTCGGGGCTGGACTCGTCAGCCGCGCTGATTCTTGTACACGACGAAGAAGAGAGGGAGGACGACGACTACGGCTTTACAGATGACGAGGATGGGGATGTTGATGATATTGTCAGCCCTGTGTTCGAGATCCGGAGGACATCAATACCACCGCTCCCACCGCTTTCGATATTCCTATACCTTTTGGCGCCGTATCTGAAGCTTGGAGCACTTAACACACTGACCAGTGCAGAAGGTCTTCCGTTGAAGTATGGGTTACCAGCACTGTTTGGCTTTGCGCTCTTGTCGGCGTTCTCCAGACAGTCTTGGTATATGCTTGCCCGCTATCTGCGGAAGGCGGATGTTATGGAAGTCGTGTGCGATACTTATGCAAAGGCAAGAGGGAAAGAGCGGCAGCGAGCTATCCTCCGAACCACAGTCAAGCTGGGTACTGCTCTTGTCAGTGGTTTGCTTGCAATCGTATATCTACACGGTGAGTTTGCTTCAAGTACATGTTGGTCTGCGAGCTCAACAGGTTGATAGAATCTGCAAATCACATATTTCCATTGTTGGACTCTTTGGCCTCCCGCATTGTCATTGGGACTATCTTCAGTGCTCTGGTCGTCTATCTATCATCGGCACAATCCCTCGCCTCCAAAAGAGTGATCCTTGCTTCATGGCTGTCGGTCTTGTCGTACGTTGCCTGGTTGTCTTGTGCAATATATGCCCATGCAAAA